GCATTTGCATGCAATTAGGGTTTAGGGTTTTCAGGTCATCATCCAGGAGTGAAGGCCATACGCCCCGGGGGGAGGGATGTGTTGAAACCCTAAACCCTAAACCCTAAACCCCAAACCCTAAACCCCAAACCCTAAACCCTAGCTCTAGACCATTCTATGGAAAGCTCTTTCTTTCTTTCTTTTGTAAACACTGCAATGGTGCCCTGTCTATCTCAACAGGGTTTAGGGTTTAGGGTTTAGGGTTTAGGGTTTACCTGGGGTATCATCTGAGCCCCTTATCCATAGAGAAACAATGTTATCACCAGGAGACCACTCAAACTTTTCTACGGGATATTTCAACGCAGAGAAGTGACCCTTTTCATCGCGCAGAAGCTTCACTGGGGTTACATCCTGAAACACAAACCCTAAACCCTAAACCCTAAACCCTAAACCCTAAACCCTTGAAGGGAGATCATTTAGTTTTTACTGTGCGAGAGAAAAAAAAACTTTCAGGATAAAAAGCCCTCTCTGTCCTCAAACCCTAAACCCTAATAAACCCTAATAAACCCTCAAAACCCTCAAAACCCTAAACCCTAAACCCTTACTTCATCAGCGACTTGATCAGGAAAATTATCTTTTGGATCCATTGCATAAACACACAGTTCTTTGTCTCCTATCTTCGCCAAATATTTCTCATCGTGAGAAAATAAAAAATGAGGAAATTCTGTGCCCCGGGGTGTAGCTGCAGGTGTGGGGAACTGACGCAACATTTCACCTGCGTATACACCCCAAACCCTAAACCCTAAACCCTAAACCCTAAACCCTAAAATTCTAAAATTCTAAACCCTAACACTCTAAATAGTAAAAGTCTAAAATCTAACACGTTGACAATCAATCATACACAATAAACCCTAAACCCCAAATCTTAACACTCTAAACCCTCAAACCCTAAACCCTAAACCCTAAACCCTAAACCCTAAACCATCGAAGGGTTTACGAACCCGTCATAACATTCCAGGTCTTCACTGCTTTTTCATTTCGCATGGAGGCGGGGGTTCCATCCCAGGAGAGCATATACGTCTCCTTGGGGGAAAACATTATCTGCACAAAACCCCAAACCCTAAACCCTAAACCCTAAATCCTAAACCCTAAACCCTAGAATAGTCAGGAAAAGCAAACAACAAAACCCTCAAACCGAGCACTACCCCTCCACTACCTAACAACAACAAACCCTAAACCCTCAGATGTGATGGATCCCGCAAAGCTTTTGTCTCTGTTGCAAAACCCTAAACCCTACTAAACCCTAAACCCTACTAAACCCTACTAAACCCTAAACCCTCGCCGACCTGTTTAACTTCTTTGTGTTCCAATCGCGCCTTCTTATCGAAGTTCCTTCCCGCCCACAGTGCAATACCTGAACCCACACAAACCCTAAACCCTCAAACCCTAAAACCCTCAAACCCTCCCCCTCTAAACCCTCACAAACCCTCAAACCCTCAAACCCTAAACCCTCAACGCCTAAACCCTCAAACCC